CACGTTCGTAGGAGTACTTTCTATTACTATCTTGATTTTGTATTAGCGTAAATATTAACTACTATGCTTTTATATTCTGTGGACAATATGTACTCCCTATTATCGATATTTTTGTAATGGTTTCACCTCAATTTCATATTGCCTGAAGGCTATATATTCGATCTATTTAATAATCTCTTATCCAACTCTCATCGAGTCTTTACTGTACAAATGTTCGAACTTGTATTCCGATGTTGCTCTGTATATTTATTGTACGATCCTCCTATCGAAAAATGATTTTGTCAGACAAAATTCTTACACCGATCCAACAAAATCTAGTTATAAAATGTATCGTATTATACCTTTCAAGAAAATAATTCACCTACAATTTCGATAAAATTAAAAATAGCTACCAAAATAGACCGAAAACGAGAGGGGATCCAATCGATCAAGTTACCAACCACTTTTTCGACTGATATACGCCCCTGTCACGGGTTGATAGCCGCACGCGAGCCTCCGCCGTTTAATCCAGCCGTAACGAGCGAAGAGACGACGCGAGTAATTTGGACAATCAATTATCTCCGATGACTTATGCGGCTCGATTAACGGCGAACCCGTGGAAATTGGTCCGAGACGCGTCAATTACAACACGCTGGTGTTGCTCGCACTCGACTTGGTGAAGACAACTGCTGGAGAAACTAAAAACAGGAAGAGGCTGGGTTCGTGGGAGAGGAACCAAAAAGAACGGCGATATTTCAACCGGGAGAGGGGTGGGGGTGAACTTTTTAGCGAGATTACCGGCCGATAATAATTCAACCGCGGGGCTGCGGCCTGGGGGACGGAATTTCATTTCAATTCCACGCTTCCCACCCCTTGCGGTGCCCGTGTTCTAGGGGCTGTAAGTGACAGTGGCGTGGGACCGAAAATCTGGCCGGGACGTCGAAAATCATGGATCGGAAACGGTAGTTTCGGATTTTCGGGGATCACCGAGCTCGCGAACGATCGAACAAAACCAGTCCTGAATTCAATCCGGAGTCCCGTGTTTTTATGGGAATTCTGAAGAGACGAGACAACTTTCGATTCGTGATACAATTATTGAATCCTTTAACACTTTGTCCGACACGTGAACCAAATATGGATTGACTTGTACATTGCAAAGATTATTTACCTCCCTAACTGCATTTGTCTACTGCAGTAGATGGTTACTTCATCGCTTTAGTGACAATATGTGGAACATTTTTTTGCCAATCGACAGTACGAAACTTCTTTAAATGACATCCAAACATATGAAAAAATCAAATTACATCCATTCGACGAGTCCCCATTAAGTGCAATATTTAAATGCATTTAAAACGTTTATTGATACAACCAATAGGTAATGAGTTATTGTAGATAATTATTTTTATTAACTTACCCTGTATTTGCGACGATTTATGACATAAAAAACAAAATAAAGTGTGTCTGGCTACGTACGGTTTTTTTCACTGTGGCAGTCAACGTGTTAAGTGGTATTTTTTTTCCTATTTATTTGTCTAACAATCTTTGCACCTCACTGCGTCCTAATGTCTGCATTGATGAAAATTAGATTGTTTAAAGAATAGTTAACACTGCGTAAAAAGTTCCGCAATACAAATTAGAGAGTCTATTAAATCCAGTAAAAATTATGCGACACATATTTACGAAAACTCCGAGTTTCATGTACGAGTCTGCGAACCTTAGAATTACCAAAAACACCCTCATCTCCCAAGGATTGCACCGAACAACCCCTTCACCTCTTCTCTCGCGCAATCATTACGCAGCCTCGTAAAAGCATTCCCTCCTCGACAAACAATTTCCACTACTCAACCTCATTTTGCATTATCAACTGTCTCGTCGTCGTACAAAAAATTACCCAACCGTTTCCACACCACGCTAGTGAAATATCCAACGGAATAACTCGTTCCCTGTCCAAAGGGCCGAAACAGTTGATCGCGAGGCGAAAGGATAAAACAAAAAGACGAGAATGGCGAAGGGGCGAACGAAAGCGGACAGGGAGAACATTTCCGGCGTTGCTCTCTCTCTCTCTCTCTCGACACCGGGGAAACAAGTCTGGGGGATGGAGTGTGTGCGATGAGAAAAATGGAAATTTCATTCGCGTCAACAGCGAACGATACACGGCCCTGGGAGCAGCGTAACTCGACGCGCACATGTCGTTATCGGGCCGCGAATACTCCCGGTATCGGGTTGATCCTCTTTTTACATCGTTTTTCGCGCCCTCGTCTACGCCCCAGCGACCTGCGTTGGCTCTCGGAAATTTCTCCCGAGCCTTGAATAAAAAATAATTCGAGCGTGCAGTGGAAGCCCACGTCTCTCGCCTGACGAGGGAATTACGCTCTCCACCGAGGCAACGCTTGCGAAAAAAAAAAGCTTCGAATTCTAAGCAGGATGCTCGCCCGGCTTCCGATGAAAGCGGACTGAATTGGACCTTTGATTCCGCGAACTTTTCACCGGGCGAAGTCGTTGGAATATCAACGGCTCCGCGAGACGTTACGCATCATCGTTCTTCGTTGGTCCGCGAATCGAGGAACTGGAGCGTGGTTCGAACTTCTGGGATTTTTATTTCCGTTACGGAAAAATAGTCTAGCCGAGTTTCATACGGAAATCGGGAGAACGTGGATGGTATAAAATACAGATTCACGAGGGATTTATCAGAAAGCTGTAACGAGAACAGTGAATGCTGTGGAATACCAGAGTTGGGCAGAATTTTATTCGAGTAATCGTATCGTATAGTTTAAGTTTTTTCTGTTGGATGCATACACTCTTGAAAATAATATTTATTTTTAATTTCCCTGTTTTTCTGACATCCTAGACATAACTATATGCAACAATGTTTTTTTTTTGTTTGAAAGAAATAATTCAGGTCGTCAAGTCTTAAAAATGGTGAAACACTTTTTTTATCGTTTATTCGTTACTCGAGACCCTTTACCCAGATAATGAATTTCCCATTTCTGTAGAATAAAACGCAGAAAATGGGTAGGTACAAAAGGTATGTTTTTGACAATTTAATTGTACCTCTAATAGCAGAATATTCCTGTAGAGCGTGAAAAATTTCGTCGAGCTGTACGGGACATCGGAACGAGGTGGATGAAATTTTGGTAACGAGCTAGGGCTGTTAGAGACAAAAACTGCTCGTTACGCGAATGCAGATATTAGGAGAGCCCTTGCAGCCTGCGAGGATGATCCTGGGTGGCAAGAAACGACAGGCAGCTGGCAGACGAAAGCTATTACGCATAATATTATAGCGGCTTGATCCCGGACACATGCCGCGAATTGGCTCGTTTGTACGCGGAAATGCTAATCCCGCATCGTATTTATTGTCCGTGCCCCGTTCGGTCGTTTAATTTTCCGCGATTGCTCCGTCTCTTTCTTCGCGAGACGAGTACCATACCAGACGAAGATTGATGCGAAAGATTTCCTGCGCGAGAATTCTTGCCGGGAAACTATTCGAATTAGAAGGGGGGCGACTGATAAACGTGAGTCGAAGGAAACTTTTGTCATTAAAGACCGTTCGTTAATTTCTATGTCTGTGTATCTCGTTCACAGTTTTTACGAGAAATACATAGAGAGACGACAGTATTCCAACGATTAACAATAGAACTACCGAAGATGAATGTGTTTCTATTTCTATCACGTTGGTAAAAGGGGCAGCTTGTTAAAAATACGTAAATCTTTAAATTAACGAACTACTTCACTTATATACACTGTATGGCATAACCATAAACCTATCCTGAAATTTACATTCCTTATCTATTGTGGTTAAAATAAAAACGAACTACTTGTTTTCTAGGGAATATAGATAATCTATTCTTTTTTGGAGAAAAATTATTTCTCAATAGGATTGCAGACATGGCATACTTGGTACATTATTTTAACCATAATAAATAAGAATTGAAAATTTTAGGATGGTGGTATAATTATACCACGCAAGGTATTGCAATTAAAGCTGCAAAGAATCTCTGAAAATGTACTGTCACGACACTTATAAATAATTTCTACGAAAGTCCACGGAACAGTCATGTCAACTGCTTATTAAATTTATTCTAGAATTAATTTACAATCGTCGACAAGCCAAGCGTAAGAGAACTAAATTGAAAGAGAGTGCTCGAGTTAACGGGATGATTCATTTTGTTCTCGCTTCGAGACTCGAAACGATCTGTTGAATCACATTCGAGAGCATTAGTAATCGCTACGCTTTGTACTGGTAATATGTACAACTAATACGATCCGGGGAACAAACGGTGATTACGTTTCACTGTTCCGCGAGAGATCGAGCACACACAGAGAGTCGATTTAATATTCGAGAACAAACAGAGGACCGGAAGCGGAGGTACAAGCGCACGCGAACCGTTTCTCGATTAACAATTCCGAGACAGCCAGGCGCGAAATAAAACGATGAAGACGGTATAAATCGCGCTGAACGAGCCCCGGCCACGCAATAACGTCGAAAGTTAGACGCGCAGCATTTAATCCGACGAGGCGGCCCGTTACCACGGTGTGTCCCATATACCATCGCGGATATTGTAGGCGAGGTCCCCCTCCACCCCCACATAGATCACCAGGAAAGCCCTTACGATATGGAAATTATTCCGCGTGCGGTGAGGCCACGAGGCGTCCGGGAAGATTTCCATCATAAATTACGGGAATTCGTGATTTAACCGTGGTCACGCGAAAGGGGTGACTCCACCCAACGATGCTCGTTCGATGGTGTCACCCTCCTGGTTCGAGAGACTTCGACCAATCGACTACACGTTGCTCGATAGTAAAAGTATCTACCCATCGTATGATTCACGGTATACTAATAAAAAATGAGACTTTAATAATCAGACTTTGTTGTTCGTTTGAACGTTCTCAAGCTATCTTTCTGTCTCTCTCTCTCTCGGAACATTATCGAGGGCGATTGCAGGGAATCTATCGAATCGATCGATCCAGCCAGCCCTGCTCTTGACCTCGAGAGAAGACGAGGAGAAATAAGAAGTACTCACCGGTCGTCGGAATTCGGGGTCGTGCAGAGCTCGCTCAGCATGCAGTCCAAATCGGTCGCCAGGGAATTAAGCAGCTGAAAGAGAGACGGAAAGGGGTTAGGGCTATCGGGGCACAGCACTTCGCTTCGCAGAGTGTACATCAATCGCCTTTTACGCTTTAATGAATACACGCCCCGAGCGGCCCCCACGGAAAATATCTGTCACCGTGACAGCAATTCGAAATGTACTTCCAATGGAACTCGAAGAAAACAATCGTAGGTCTTATCGTAGCTATTCGGATTTAAATAAAATGTGTATTAAACTGAAGCTACTAATTCTTGCGTAAATTAGTCGGCAGTCAACGTGTTAAGCTAAATCAAAAGGAACTTCAACTCAGAACACAATTATTCGTCGTTCAGAAACCATTTAACGCACAACATCTCGATTGAACCATAAATTACAGTTAACAGAGCCTTTCCTCCGAATTAACGGAACACGTTAAACTACAAAATCGTATCATTCTCCGCTAATCGAAAATTACGCAACGAGAAGCGCAGCTATTAAACATCGAACAGCACGAATTTAATTTAATTTTCCACCGGAACTCCGTGCCATTAACGGAACACTGCCGCGTCAACTCGTGGAATTAGTATATCGCGATACCAGCGTGTCAGCCACCTGCAATTAAGTTAATCCTTAATTGGACGAGTTACAGGTACAAACGCCTCGTAAAATCGTTCACGAAAGCACGACCAATCTCGCGGTAACTGATTCGTCGAGGGGTAGCATGTCGTAACATCGACGTTTCCGACTGGAGAATTCAAACAAGCCTGAAATCCTTTCGACAGAAAAGCACCAAGAGATCATACGAAGTTGAGAAAGTTTTCGTTAGAATTGTCCGAGGAACCCGAAGAATCCATGGGTTCAGGAAGTTTAGGAGACTTCGTTTTGAAAGAATCGACTGAAAGTTGACTGGGGAAGTAGTAACGACACCATTCTGAAGTAAAGTAGCCCTACTGTATCTGGATACCGAGGAGAAAAACATTTTCACTTCGGGAAATTTTCAAGAAATCGTCGAGAATTTTGCTTGCTTCATGGCCTTCGTTGTAAAGAAAACCACCCCCTTTGAAAACTTAGTCACATTTTTATGTGAACCAAATCTGACATGGATAGGCGAATACTTATGAGAGGTAGGTGATCCAGACTTTTTCCAACGATAAACGTGGAACAATAGCAAAGGTTACAGGTAAAAATTGGAGGAACTACGGTGTGACTCTGGTCCATGGAAATTCATATCCTGTCTCATTCCACTGAATCATGAAGTCTTTTACAGTCCAGACGTCTCCCAGAGGTTTATGAGCGTGGTTTAAACCTGCAGGTCTAGCCGGTGCAAGGTCCACATCCATCCAAGATGAAAAATATATTACCAAATTTCATATTCCTTTGCGAGGGAACGGTGGTGGTTTCTCCGAAAGAAGCGGAAAGGTTTCCTGTACCATCGAAGAAGAAATGAAGTTTGCACGAGAGCATCCCTCCCGTCCCTGGGATACGTCACCCTGTCTCTCTCTCCTGTACACCGAATGCCTCCTCTATTTGCATTGCATCATGGAATCGGAGCCCGGAAAATTAGAAGGTTTCCATCCGGAGGCACTTTCGCAAAGTCAATATTGAACGTGGAGGAAGACGTCCGATAAAGTTCCCGCGCAACACCGGAACGGTTATAGGCCGTAGGAACGGGGGTGGAATTTGTTTATTGCAAATCCAATTTACGACTTCGTGACTCGGTTTGGGTATTGTTCAATACTCCAATAGCCATTGGTTCCCTATAATTTCTGTAAACTGAAAATATCTTCTGATAAAAACCATCAGAAAGTAGTTATAAATAAACTGCGGATTTTATGCATTTATAGCCTACAGGGGTCTGTAAAATACACTAAAGAACAAAACTTTCATCGGATCCAATAAGCTTTCTAGTGTATGCGGAATCCAATATGATACTTGAGCAAGAAAAGAAATTCCTACATTTATTCTACTCTGTATGAATTGTTTTAGAAAATATCATTTTGCACGAAAATCCGCAGTCTAGTTATGAATATTAATGGGTTTCAAACGAAATGAGTACTAGATAAAGTTTGTGCAAAACTAGTGGATCAATCACAAATACGTCTGCCAACATTCTAAATACAAATTCGGTATTGAAACAAAATGTTTTCTCGCCTAATATTATGCTGACCCATTTGCGAATCACCCTAGATTCTTCTTCCACCGAAGTAATCCTGAATCAACCAATCTGTCACCGGGAGCCAGGGTTGTGAATATCAAAGGGTGCCTCGAACCAGTCAGGATTAAAGATATCAAAAATACTACTCTTTCAGCACGTTAATTACAGTCGTAATTAGAGGAGGAAGACTCCTCGTCGTGGTCGGTTTTAATCCCATCGGACTGGCTAACAATTTACGGTCGGTGAGGTTCTCGTTTATGAAAAAAGTCCACCAACGCTCAGACGGGGGTGTTATTTTTGATGGTGATCCCCCCGGTCGAGAGGGGATTTTTGTAATAAAGTAACTTCCCTCCTCGTCTCGAATCCACCCGAGGAACAGGTCTCGAGGAGCTGCGCTCGCATTTGTATGTGTGTAGGGGAACGTGGGTGAATCTGTAAGCTCGTCGAGCTTACGTCTTATCACGTAACGCCTTGACATTAATACGGGATTATGCAATAGTGATGTCGAGAACGAACTCGTGAGTCATCCACCATGGGACCGGATACGTTTTCTCGAGTCACGTTTTCTAAATAAATACAACTTCGCAAACTACGTCTCTAGGGATAAAATGAACCGTTCGAATAATTTATAGGATCTAAGAGTATCGCTTGCAACGAACAAATTAAATATCACAGTTTTCTCTTGCTTTAATAAGAACCTGTGACAAACGTTGTATCTTTGACATTCAGATAACGCTTTCGAAGAAGTAAAAACACGAATAAGTTAGAAATTGAAGAACAATAATGGGATTGAAAGAATAGAACTACAACTGGGCCAGAAATGGCTAGAAAGTAGTAGAAGGGTTAATCATCGACTAAACTGGACAATCGAGTTCCTCGGTGACGGGATCAATTGTCAGAGCTCCAAAGCGATTCATCTGCAAACAAGGTTTCCAGTTCCACTCCGAAATTGAGCAGATCACAGTGATGGAATCGGACAAGAGTAGGAAAAAGTAAAAAAAGGAACACGCGTCGAGACTCACAAAATACAATGACACGTCCTGGTTACCTGTCAACGGAGACACGGCTGACGGAGGGGAGGATATGAAAATTTCAGAAACAGTCTGAGATTCGACATGAGGGTACCCGTGTCACAACGAGTCTCGATACTCGTATCGACAGATTGCGGTCCGCGACGCGGAGGGTTCGGGCGGTGGCAGCGGGAGGGTGAATTGCAATTACATTCTCACGATGACCCTTTAAGGTCGAGGCATCCCCGTCACGAGGGTTCCCGTGGTATTTAAATTGCGCTCGAAAATGTGCGTTACAGCGCTTCCTAACGCGTTATTGCCTCGCGTAATATCAGCCAATTCGGTAGCTACTCTATAAGATACGCATCGAGTCAGTTATTTTTTTTTTTTCCAAAATTCGTGTTTCCAATTGTAGTAAGTTAAGGGAAATGTTTTTACAATCTATTGTTCGTATTTATTATGTGGTGAAATATTTTTTCTATCCCCTAATTAAGATTCTATATCTATTACTATCCCATTTTATCCCCAGGTAGCTGAATTAGATAAAGAAGGAACAACTGGCGAGGCATTACCGTGGTCCAGAACATCAATTCTTCGGTTGGCTTGGAACGGCAGAAGAAAAAGGTGTATACCATAACTCGTGCCTCGAGCACCCATTGCGCCACCCTTTTCACCGGTGGAACAACTCCCATTCACGGCTTTAATTACGCACGGTCATTGTGCAATACCGTATTAATGCCGACAGAGACGCTCGAGTGGAATTACATAAATAATGAACGGAAGCAAGTTCGGTTTCGTGAGTGTATCGCGCAATGGGCCGCTGAGGGACGCCAAACAGAGAGTTCGGCGGAGTTCTGAGATGGCAGAGTGAAAGAGATGAAACGAGAGGGTTGTAAATAATTTCGTTTAAATCGAGTCGAAGCGGAAGGGTGTATATGTATATGTATACGAGGAGCAAGAACGAAGGAGGAGAGGATTGTTAGCAATCGATCGGAACCACTTGTAACTTTCAGAAACGATCGAGAGTCTCGAAACTGAGAAACTCCACTTGGCGGGGTGGAGAAGTTTCAGGAACAATCACCTCGTCGTGTTGTAGCAACTTCGAGAAGTCTAGAATAAATTCTGGACAATAAAATCTTAGTGAATCATTATAACTAGGGGCCACGAAGAAACGAAGCAGAGGAAAGTGAAGCTTCTGGAGTTTATCGTTTGGATTAATGTTGATGATTAGACTGTGGTTTTTATTATAGCCTCTATAGGGGTCTGTGAAATACAATAAAAGGAAAAACTTTTCTCAGATCCAACGATTTTTCTATTTTATTCTGAACCCAATAAAGTATAAATCGTATAAGATACTTATAAGAAGAAAGAAATTCCTATCTTTGCTTTTAAATTCATGAATTACTTTAGAAAATATCAATTTCCATAAAAATCTGCAATCTAATGATGACGATCGATAGACATACTGGTATACATACGATTAAATAACTGATTATTTCAATTTCGAGTCGACAAATACATTCGTGTAAGCAAGATTCGCGGATATTCGGTTCGAACACGGAACCTCATGTATATTCGGCGTGAGTCACCCGCTCAACGAAGCATGGAACCCCATAGGACGCCGGGTAGATGTTCCGACAGTCGAACCTTTGCCGGCAAAGCCGATGGAAATCGATGGATTCGGTAAACCAACGGAGAGAACCGAGATGGAACTTGAAACTACGTGGGCGAACCCTTCGATCGTTACCACTGGAAAATTAATTAAATTTCTACAAGTGGCAGAGACTACGTTACACTAACAATGACGACACTCATAACTAGCCCAAATTTGACAAACCTACTCACCAGTATAGGGACACTTATC